GACGCAGCCACGGCGTTCAGAACTGAACAGAGCAAGCGACAGGCACAGCAAAGTGCAGACGATCCAGTGGGCATTTTTCTAAATATAACACTAAAGAAAATCAGGCAGATTCTCAGGTAACACAGACAGAAATGGCCCTGAACCTGTTCCCATGAACCCAGATCAGTCTTAGGGAATGTAATGGAATTGCTTTAATTTACACTATGAATATGGTCTAGCACAGAGTATTTTTACCCATCACCAAGACAACTCTGTTACTACCTGCAAGCTGCCAGGTGTTTCCCATCCACATCCTCAAAGACTTGAGCCCATTTCAGTCACTGGAAGGCCTGTGGCAGGGGCTACATCCAGTCCTTACTAGCCTCATGTTGGCACTGAGCAGAGAAAGAGGTGAAGAGAATTTCTTCAGACCCAGGAGAGCCCGTGTCTGTAAATGTGAAGAGAACCAACTCCAGAACTTTTCCTCCAGAGTTTAATTTACTGTGGAACAATCTAGAAGGCTTTAGCACCAGTCTCTGGTAGGTACCCAGGGGCAAAGGGGGAGATTTTGGTGGTGTGTGCTGGGAACCTCAGCAGAAAGCCAGAGCTCTCACCATCCCCTCCCCGTTCACCTGGTTGAGAGCAGCAGCCCTCCTGCTACACAATGAGCTGAACCTGAATGTCAGCCAGGTGGCCTGAGCAAGAAAAAGTCACAGCAGGGAGCAGAGGGACATAAACTGCAGTTTTCTACAAGGTGAAGGCTGGCAGAAGACAGCCAGTGCAGTGCCAAAGGGCCTCAGCCCTATCTGCACCCCGCATCCAACGCTTGGATGGGAAAGTGCCTGGGAACCCTAGGTGCTGCAGCACAAACCAGCAGTTCCCACAGCACCAGAACAGACTCTGGCTGAACCAAGACACTTTGCTTCACTGCCCACCACTGCAAGGGATCTGGCAAAAAGGGTGGAAGAGGAACCGAAGTCTATAGCTGCAGAACATCTCTTTAAAAAACACTGGATGCTGTAGGAAAAAAACCCTCTGCTTCAAAAAAAAAAAAAATAATATTCCCCTTCCTGCCTGCGGGGCAGTCTGAGTGTCCTGAAATCTGGATCTTCCAAGAGCAATCACAAAACCAACTTTGCTTCATTGCTGTCCTTAACAACATCTAGCCTGTCAACACAGCTGGTGTGTCAGGTAACTCCATCTATCACTGAGCAGAGATGGAGGCAGAGGAAATGATGCAAAGTGCAGGAGCAGCAATGAGTAAATGGACTGTGCTATCCCGTAAGCTAACACAGCCGCTTAACAGATGGGTCTATAAAGAATACAATAATCACCATGCAGTCAAAAAATGCCTGGGTCTTTGGGAATACAAATGTTAAACCTCTCACTGTGTATGAAAACATCTATTAAAAGCAACATCAGAGAGAAATAATCTGTGCTATTTTCCTCTCAAATGCTCATGGCACCAAGAAACTGAGCTGTTTGAGAAAAGTAAACATTTGCTTAAGCATACCAGCTGAGTGAGCAACTCCAGATTTCAGTGTTAGAACGTTACAGAAGTACACACAGCATTGTCTGTTCCTGCTATAATTGATGGAACTGACAATTTTGTATTTGTCCCCTGTTCAGCCACTTCACAGCAGCAGAATATAAGCTCTGGACATGCTGTGATTATCCTTTGCTAGCCTCCAAGAGCTAGTAGGGAGCTCTCTGTGCAGAGAAAAAGCTGTAAATCAGCCTTTGTCCAAATAAATCGTACCTCCTGGCCTTTATCTCCTCATTCAAAACACCCAGCAGACACACGGGAGTTGACCAGTGCCTGCGCAAGTCAGGCAAGGAATGGGGCAACAAATGCCAAGGACAGCTCTGTGGAGGAGAGCTGCAAATTACTTTATAAATTCAGCATTAACCCCCCTCTCCTTTTTATCAGAGGGGTATATTAAGAGATTTTCAAATGGGGTGATCTTACCTCCATCCATGCTTGGTACAGACAAAAAAGTTTGATGGTTTCTCTATTAACCAGACGCCTTACTTCATTACTTGGCTGTAATGCAGTTGTACTGGGAAGTCTGCTGCAGCTCAAGTTTTTTTTAATAGCTTTTGGTTACATACAGGAAAACTACCTGAGCTCATAGCATACCACAGTGCTGAGAGCCCATAGCTGGCTGCAGCCAACTTCAGCCAGCTCTCCATTACCAAGGGCGTTTGGAGAAGCAGCAGAAGGTAGGATATCCTGTGTAACAAAAAAGATGCTATGGCACTAAAGAAAGCGAGCCACAGCCAGTGTTTACCAGCTGTGCCTACCATACATCCTCATTTTCCTGAAACTCTGTCTAGACAGACTTTTGGTAAAGGTAGCCATGCTCGGTTTTGAGCTGATGCATGGGAATTCAGAGCAAAGGTGCGGAAGGAATGCTGAGGGATGCTCTCTAGACCCAAACTGGTTCCAGAAAAATCAGAGAGGCAGATTAAAATAAAGCCACAGATGTTTTTAGGCATAGCAGAAACTCCAGCAGAGGAAAGCTTTGAAACAGAAGCCTATGAGTACAGAAAGACCTCCTCCTCTAAATAAAAGCCTTGGCTAGACAAGTTCAGATGTGACTTTTAGGATTTGTCTCCCCTTCATCACACATCTTGTTCTTACAGATAAGCTAATGGCCAGTGGTTTAAACCAGAGGTTTGCTACAGCGCACTGCTATAGTGACAAGGTGAAAGCATCCTGACACACAACAACTCAAACAAATGGACAGTTTGATGCAGAAACCCCATCTGACCCTGGCTAAGCTTTGGGCAATGAATGCACATAGCACACCCTACAGCTCCCAGGTCAGAGATCTCCAGACTCAGTTCATCGCATGCAGTTCAGTTCCTCCATCTAACTAGCCCCTGCCTCCAGACTCAAGAGCATTCACGGGTTGCCTACAGCAGATCAGTTATCTTCAGTTTTGTCTTCCATCCCTATGCATACACGCAACAGCAGCAGTGCTTGAATCTGGACCTGAGCAACTTTTCTTGGAGCTAATAAAACATGTTCCTGCTATATCTTTCCTCACAGTTCCCACTGGACAAGCAGCACACTCAACTCCCTGAAGTATGCTTGCTTGTAGGTATGCTCACTAGATTATGAAAGTAATTATATTAGCAGCAGCTCTGATCCCTCATCAGTATGTTGTTTAAAGAGATTATGCTGCTTACATTAATCGAATGAGAAAAATCTCTACCCAGTTTAATGGAAGATTGCTTCAAATGCTGATTAATAGCTTATTTTCCATCACTGCTGTTTCCTCCTAAACTTACATGCCAAAGGCCACTATCAGCTCAGATACCAAATCCTCTCCCATAACCAGTGAAAACTGTTATTTATGCTTTTAAATAGTGAAATACCCTCTAAACTTGTAGTTGCTGTAAATAACTGTCAATCCATTAGAGTATTAATTAGGCTGTTGCTATCGGGCGGTAAAAATAACACAGCAATACTTCAAATGCTGCAGGAAATCATCCTTTAAACATTTCCTCAGCCTGTTATCCATGCCTCACTTCTGCCCTTCAGCTATTGTCACCATTGGGCCAGGCACTGCAGCTGTGTATGTGCAGCCAGCTGCTTTCTGGCAGCAGCCCCTCCATTGGTATTTAGCACATACAACCCATCAGTTACAGGCTTCCCCAGCAACACAAGAACCTTCAACAGCTGCCAGGTAGCCCTGCTCCTCAGGAACCTAATGAGGCTGCAAGGGGGATTGGTTTTTAACCCCATCCCTAACACACATACCTGCTGCTGCACTGCTTCCCAGGCAGCAGCGCGCTGGGCACAGGTACTTCCATCATTAGGCCTGGGGTCTGAATCTGAACCTGCTGAGACACTGCAGGTTAATATGTATCCCAATTCTTAACACCAGCTTGATCTGAAGGGCCTATTTACTTCATTTGCATTGCCAGTGGGGGGTACAAATGCTACCAGACCAGGACCTGCCCGAGACATCTGTTCGACTGTGCATCACGCAGACACCGCTCCTGACTGCCAGGCTGATGGGCACAGCAGATGGAGAATCTCTTCTCCCTCTGTGCAGAACACTCACCACCATTCAATCCCTCTGCAAGAGTGCAGAGGTGGCACAGCACAGGTGCACTGACAGATTTTTGCACCCCTGCTGAGGCCAGATGTGTAGAGTCAATTGATCAGTGATGTGAGTCATATGCACAGGAAGCAATACATCCAAAGGCTCTTGACTACTATTCTCTGGTATTAGGAAAGCCTTTAGCTTCCTCTAGTTTAGTGGCTCCCTACTCCAGCACACATGTACAATCCATATTTAATTACCCTGCTCTGCAAACCTGGAAGTTTGCCAAACAGCATCCAGGGGAGGCTGCAGGATCTGAATGAACATCTGTCACCAAGTCTCTCTAGCCAGAAGCAGTCACTCCTGCTAGCTGAACACACTGCACAAGGGAAATGTCCAAATCCTCACAGAAGCTGACATCAGCTTCCCTTCCTTCCCAGACTGCAAGGCGACTGCAAGGCTCCTACACGGAAGAATTTGCAAAGCCACAGTGACTTACCTGGGAATATGCTTATCTACACCTTATACCAGGCCAGCTAAGATCCCCACTGAATTATGTTCTACACCAGCTGCTCCCCACACAGGAGCCAAGGGAGAAGCTGAGGGAAAGCCCTTGTTTCAACAGAGGCAAAGTGCAGACTGCACCTCTCCCTTTGCTCCAGCAGACCTGTTGTTGACCTTTAGCACCCAGCAGTTATGTACAGAGAACCGTGCCCTACTGCCATTTCCTGCAGCACAGCAGCAGCCACAAGTCTCAGCTAAGCACTTTTACTTCAGGGTATGTGAAGCTACACGGCCATGAGAGCAAGCCCTCTCTAGCATGAGGCAGCAGGCAGCTCAATGTAAGCTATCATTACACAGAAGCCCTATTGCCATCCAGCTCCCCAGAACAATTAGGAGATCCAGAAATTGGTTGTTCAAGGCATGTAAAGACAATTTCAGTCACCAGCTGAATTCACCCAGTACTTAGATTTTATTAAAAATAGGCTCTAAACAGTACAGAAATACACACCGTGCTGCAGCATCCAAGATGCCCCTTCCCCACTTTACAGGCTGCCAATACATTACCGAAGCTTTCTGGATGACAGGCGAGAGCCAAGACTTGTATCCCACTCTCCTTACGCAGAAGGCCATCTTCCCATACTTGACAACTGCTCTCTAAGGAGAGGCTTCCTTACTTTTAATGATTGTGGTAGGATAACATAAGCTGTCAGGTGGTGAATGCAGCCCTTGCAGACAAAAGCACCCAATTACATTAAACATGGACTACCATCAAATGCCTCATACCAAGGGAAAGAAAAATATAACACCCTCTGTCTCTAAGTTGGCAGGGCACCAATTTATCACTCCTGCTAGCTCTGAGAAAGACCAGAGCTGCTGTTGCAGGGTGATGTGAATGCTGTAGCTTGGACAAGGGATCACAGGGAGCAGCATGGAGAGGGACATCGTTAGCAGAAGACAGGTTTCTGCTAGTACACTGAAATCACAGCAGGTTCCCAGGACAACTTCTGACAAATCTCAACCTGTCAAGAAAACAGCCAACATTTTGTCAGTCCACTCTACCACACACAGCAAATATACAGCGTTCAAATCCCACCCCCCCAAACTATTATACAGCAAGGGTTGCTCTGCAAACCACAAAAACTTCTTTACTGCCAGGCACTCCAAATAGGATGCACACTTAAAACTGCATTGTGGGAGCTTTTAGAGTAGTACTTGGTAAAAGCCTGGGGGAGCTGACTGAGCCGAGTAACAGATTTGGTCAGCCCTACCAGCTTCACCATCTGACAGACCACTCGTACTCATTTTCAATTAGAGAGTGCCATACAGAAAGGTCACATTCATAGATACAGGCTACCAAGGAGACATCAGCCTTGTTGGAGATACAAAAGCCGCACAACAGGCACCTGAACAGGAACACAAGGCTGTAACTGAATGAAGCCAGCAACAGTAGCTGTTTAGCCAATGTTAGGCACATTTTCTAGAGCATTAGTGAAATCCTAATCAAAGAGCCAAGTTTTCAGAAGATGTCACATCATTGATCTTCTATAAAAAAACAAAGGAAGAAAAATAACACCAAAAGCAATCCCTCTCTTGCAAATAGACACATTGCTGGAAGCTGACTTTCATCCACACTTCGCCAAGGCACTGAGAACCTCCCATTCAGAGCGGGGGGAGGAACACCAAACAAAGAACTCTAAAAAGTATCGAGAAAAGCTCCCTGACTCTGTAAGAACCACCTCATTTAAACACTACTTACATGGAGCAAAACAAAAAAGCTATGCTGATGCTTTAAAGGTTAAACTGAAACCCATCAGTTATCTCCTATTTACTTGAGATCTTTTGAAAGGAAGAATTCTTTCACTTTTGATCCTCAAGTCTTTTACGCATGTCAGACAGTGTTACACAATCAGTGTTACTATGGTATGTGCAGACAGCACCCTCCAGTGCTGCCCGCTCTCAAAAGCATGCAGCATACGGGTAGTTTCCCTGCAACAGAGGTACAAGGGCACATAGCCTCAATGTACAGCCACATGAGGAACTGAAGCATCTTGTGTCTGTGGAATCAGTCAATCTGGCTAAAACAGAAGTTTGCATCAGCATTGCCAATCTGGTAGGGAAAAAAGTCTGAAGTCATCATGACAGATGCTCTTCAGCTGAACATTAAAAGGCAATCAATTACATTTGAAAAATCTTCATGTCTGTAACAACTGACAAGGTATTTATTAATTCCTGCAGGAAAGATGGTAAAAGGAAACTTGAAATACTCACTTCAACAGGTGTTGATACTCGGGTCCAACACTTGAAAGGGCCCCTACTGCAATGCTCAAATCTACATGTGTCACATCTCCAGGAACACTAACCAGTCAAAGCATTGCAGAAGTAACTCCCCTGCAGAAATGTGTTTTCTCTCCCCCCCCGCTCACATTTTTTTTTATTTAAATCAGTGAACATAGGTGGAAAGACTTACCATTCTCCCCTGTCAGAGGGGCACATATGATGGAGCAACCCAGGCAACTGCCCTCGTGAATCACAATTAATCACAGCCATCACATCAAGTCTCCATGAGGCTCAACACCCCCTCTGCCTTTGCAGTGCCCTACAAGCAGAGCCAAAGAGAACAGTTAGCACCAGGCCCTGCCCAGGTGTGAGACAGAGCAACACTTTCCTGCTGGTATATCAGACATGAACTGGCTTGAACAGTGAGAAATCAACACTGTCGCTCTGTCGGGGAAAGAATTCAGTCATCACTTAACACCAGCGGGTCCCCGGGAGTTAGGTGGCTGCACACCCGCAGCAGCCATGTCACACTCCCACCTCCCCCAGCAGATCTGCAGGGACCGAGTGAACTAATGGCAGAGGAAGTGGCAAAGCCATGCACACACAGAGCCACGCCT